CTATTACATGACTCTCAAGCCATGTACCCATCTAGTAGCTGTGGTGTATGCCACACCATAGCTCCCTTGGGAGAGTGACGGGTCACTCTCATGTAACCCCGTTACAATTGCTCTTATCATGCGCTATTGTAGTTTATACCGCGGTTAGGCGTAGTCAACACTCTGATAAATGCCGGCTAGATGAACGCCGTCCACTCAAAATCTGCCATTTGAGATGCTTAACATCCTGTTACTTTTGCGTCACATCCCACGATAAATTGTGCGTCGGCGAGAAATTCATAAGTCTTTCGCGTATTTTATGCAGCTCTGCCTCTTCCTGCCGTCATCCGTCTTATGTGCCTAGCTATTTCCCTTCTACAACACCGGCTATCTCGCAAGAAAATCGTCAGACACCAGTAGATGCAAGGTGGCCAATCGTGAAAGGACTGGGTTATATTATACTTCATAGGAGTTATGGCCTAGGGTTTAGCGAGACACAAACATGAAATCGGCGACATTATCTAAGAAAGGTTTGCTTATAGCCCATGGTTGTTGGTTGTCAACATCAATTCCCGGGCTATGAAAAGCTTTGAAATATATTGATCAAAAGCGTACGCTGTGCAGTAATGTATGACGCGTGAATATCAACCGCAGTAGGTAGTGCGTGGTGGCATCGAACTTGTTATGAACAGATACAATATTTGAGCCTCTTGCGACGGGGACGATAGTGAAGTGTTGTTGATTTTGTTGGACCCTCAAGTAAGCCTTAAAAACTCTGACATTGTCAAACGTGTCAAGCGATTTCCAGATAGTCTTATTCTAGGTGTGGCGTAGCTTGAACACCATAAGCCATATATCGACAAAAAGTAAAAATAATTTGGTGTCTCGAGCTGAGCTCGGAAGGGAGAGGTGGCAAGTAGCCGCGCTCTCAGTTTGAGGCAATTGAAAATTGCGGTCTGTGCGCAATAACATCTTCTCTCATCTTTGTTGGGAGAGTTTGTTGGCCAAAAAAATCTTTCTCAAGGTCCACCATCATACCTGGTGCAATCATACCTGTATGAAAGTCGTACTAGAATACAATTTTTCCCTTTGTCAACATTTCATTATATTTATTGTATTTACACTAATTATGATTTAAGAGTCCACAAATTTTAGACGCTGATAGAAATTTTCGGCAGTACTGCCTTTATGCTAGGTTTTGTCACTCTTAATAACTTGGATCTGTCATACAACAAGGTGCAATTTATATTGCGATGAAATCATATCTTAATAAAACTGTTAAGCGTCAGCAACAATGCTCTGATAGATTTCGTTTTCGCTTTGAGTCTAGACCATGAAAACAACAGAATTCTACAATAAAAGTTTCATCAAATCTCACATACACGGAACATGGATTGTAATTCATACAGTCAAGTTCATTTTTTGTCCTTCCCAGTACATATTTCACCTTCAGTACAATGACAGGATGGATAATACAGACATGAAGTAAAATCATCAAGAACCAGGGATTGACGACTCAAATCTTACTCCAAGTTGATACCAGCAGTAGCGAGCAAGCCAAAGGAAACAACAATGGAGCACGATACTCCAGATAAGCCGCAAGACAGCATTATCTTCGTAGAATTGGTATTTCCGACTACAAAATCGCTCAATACAGCGAGGTTCCTAGCCCAGAGACAAGAACCAAGAGGTACAACAAATTCGATGATATCAATGGTCAGAATTCCTGGAACGGGTGGCAGTGCACCAGCATGCTACTACGGAGGAACAGATAAGTAAGACAATCACATTGATTGATCGTCTCAATACATATCAGGCTTTATAGGAGAAAAAGATTAAAAAATTAGAAGGCTAACTTTTTATACAGTAAGGTTTTGTGAACTGGAAAGTCCGACTACCTTCGAGGTCTTAGTCTAGCTACATCATTTAAATGGTACTAGGGGTCTGTCTTGTGGTTTTTATCCTACTTTTCGTCTTTCTACCACAATGACGAGGACATTTTCGACGTAAAGCGTGATAAAATTGAAATTGACGACACATTGCCATTCGAGTCAACTTCTTTGCCAAATCGAACTTCCTCATCGCTCCACGCATAATCGCACTTGGCAGAGACATAAAGGTGGCCGGTTGATTGTGTTCACAAGGAAACTTCGATATTGAAAACTATATTGACGACGTATAGCCATCAAATACAATGGAATGTTTTTCTGTCACGATATGAAGAATGTCTGGGCGTGCATGACAGAAAGTGCCAAAGCAAGATACAATGGTGAAGTACTACGATTAATGTGAGGTGATGGCTTTTGGAAAGAGGAGATCTGTGGGACGCGTGGGCTGCTGGCCACACCCCATGCAGTACACAGAATTTCTTACTGTACATGGTAAGACAAAACGATAGTAGCTTAAGATCGTATGTCATGTAAAAAGGAGAGGGACGTGGTCTCATAAAAAAACTAGGCCAAATTGGAGCCTACAGCATGCGATCTCACATCGTGTTTCAGCAATGCAAAAGCTTTCTAACATTCCCATATACTTCATTTTTCTAGAAGAAACCAGAAACCACCAGACGTCAACCTATCAGCAGATTCTACGTATTGAGACCAGGTACCAGATCAACTGGACAGGGAAGATCTCGTGGCGTTTGAGCGTACATCATTTTCGCCATCATTCATCAGCAATAGTAAACTTAAGCCCGTAAGCCCTCGCGGCACCTGAGCGTCCCTGTCCCTGCCCATGCCACCTCTCTTCTTCAACCTATTTCGACTATAAAACAATCTCAAATCGTCAAATCTATTGGTGTCGCTTAGAACATGCGACAAAACATGAGTGTAATGACAGAAAGCAACGGGACTTCAACATTTACGGTCATCATTCTGTGGCAAAATCACGAACTTCGTTTTCCTGAATCGCTGCGAATTAAATATAAGAATTCAAGTTGATTCATCGCGATCTTAAGTTCGAGAATATTGCTAAATATCAAGATCGTTCATTTTCTCACTGGTCGTACTAAAGAGTCAAAGGAAACAAAAAAGCATGAAAATTGCCATTTCTTGGCTGATTGCAAAATATTTAAAAAATCTGGTTACAGATGGAATTCAGCAAATAATGAGTCATTTGGTAGTGAAATATGCTAGTGAAGCAATGAAGTGGGCATGTTTCCGTTAAATAAAAGAGGTGATCAGAACATAAAGTAATGTAGGAGTAATGAAGTTTATGAGGCAATGATCATTATTTGTTTTCTGCCTCGAATGACCCGCAGCTTTAATTTACCCAAACTTGCCGTCAAAGCCGACAAAGCCCGTAATTTTGAAAATGGGAAAGAATGATTTCTTGTGCAAATTCGAGCACCAGTTCCAAGCACTCGTTAGGCGGCCATCAATGCACGATCCAGCTTCAAAGAAATTGTCAGCCCCACTGCCATCGAATGCCTCACGAAAGAAATCGGCTAAAATTGTACGTTGAAGCTTGAGAGGCCCGCCAAACGTAGCATTAATGTATCCTTGGATGGCCTCAGATGACTGACAAAGTGACTCAATGCTGTTTATAGTCTTGACGATTGGACGCAGGATGTGTCCCACCTGTGTGTACTTGTCGATGAACATGAGTGCGTTGGGTACATTTTTGTCGCCTAGGTGAATCACGCTCGAACCTACCCATGAACAAAGGCTCCGCTGTGTGGAGTGCAAAATGACGTGCATTGCGCGCGACACACGTGGTGCTGGCTGGATGCGATGAAGACCCTGACCGGTATCAATGAGCTCGTATCGCGTACCGTCGGCGAGTAAATCCTCGTCAGTCAGATACCAAAGGCGAAACATGTCGTGAGCAATTTCGCGCCAAAGTGTGAGCGATTGGAGAACATAATTGTATTGTCGATTATGTGAATGGGACAACCGAGCACCATCATTTCCACTGACGATAGTCAATGAACCATCTTCCGTCTCATCGTCTGGATTAAAGTTCGCGGTCAGCAACTTGATCATTTGGTCGATTGGGTCTCGTTCAAAGTACAAATGGTAGTTGTTATCAGCGATCGAGTAAAGACACTGCTGAAGCGAGTCGCGGGAGATTCGTCGGCTTTCGTACTTGTCGCTCAAAGCACGAATTGCTTGCTCTTTCTGCTTGATCTGGCGTTGAATTTGATGACGAGTCTTACCTTCAGGTGCAACGACCATCGTAGCAGCCACGATACGGGCATCTTGCAACATGCCCAGTGCATCCCCAGTTTCCAGCACATCGTATACAGTACGGATTTTTTGAAGACATGAAAAGCCGAGCAGTTCCTGAAGCTCTGGACTCACTGCATCCTGTAGCAAATACATGAGTTTACCGTATTCACCACGCATTTTCTCAGGATTCATAATCTTGTATCGTCTGCCTAGCTCAATAATCCCTTGAAAGAACGGAGCGCTTTCGGCAAAGTTCTTCTCGTCCAAAATTTCTTGTCCAACCTTATAATCCGACGCAACTGCTAACGCCGACAGAAAACCGCATACGTCTTGTAATTGAGCACGCACCCGTTTACCTGGTGGTAAAAATTGAGGTGTGTCTAGCTTGTCTGTGTAGCTACTGACGCACAAAGCGGCCTCCAAAGCTCGCAGTAGCTTGCGCTCTTCGTAAGTCAATCGCACAGGGATGTACTTGGATCGCTCCAGCATCGCAGTCGTTGCCATAGGCGTTGAATTAGTGGCTTTGTCAATAGTGAGCCTTCGTTGGCCAAGCGAGGCCGGGTAACCTAACAGATAATGACCCAAAATGTTACAAATGTTACGTCGACGTGCAGGTTTATCCGAGTCAGAAGCACCGGCATTGTGGTCGACAGCGCCTTTCATACCACGATTTAGGTCTTCTTCTTCACTGCTATTTGTGTCGCCATCAAGCTCATCCTCGTTGCTCTAAACACATAATATACAGCACACAACCCGTCCATCCTCTCAGTCTTCCATGCTTCCTCATCAGTTCCTTTGTAGTAGTGCAAAGATATAAACGTACATCGTAATCCACTGCATCTTTTGTTGCAGCCATGTCCGCGCCGTTAGCGGCCTTGGCAATCACTGGAGTGGCTTCGGACGTCGCAATACGCG